CTCCCGTTTGACGCTCCATAATAATTTCTCCTTCTGTTCTTCCTCCATGTCCGTCAGTCTGTCCGCTGCAGCTCCGCTCCGGTCCGGTCCGGTCCGCTCGGTCCAGAACCTCTTCCCTTTGTATTACCTGTTTCCTTCTTCTCCTGCTCAGCTGGACTCTGACGCAGCCGAGCTGCTTGAAGGTGACGTCAGAGGATCCGCCTTCCTCACCCAACTGATCAATGGAGGAAGAGGAAGGAGAGGCGCGAGCGCCTCCCAGACCTGCAGCGCAGCGACCTGTAGAAGCTCCGAGTTATTTATAGCAGCTTCTTCCCTCCTCCTCCATCAGCAGAGCAGCAGACTCATCCTCCTCGGAGAGAGGATGGAGGAGCCGGAGGACAGCCGGCTGGGTTCTGGTTCACCCCCCTATCAGAACCAGAACATCGAGCTTTAGCTGATCTACCTGCCTTCCTCACAGTAGATCTGATCCTGGGTCAGATCTGAGGCAGGCTGGCCCGCTGCAAGATAGGTGACATCACAGCGACATGATGAAGAAAGATCCTCATCCTCTGGAGGAGAGACAGAAACCGCTGCTGGCGCCCCCAAGTGGGCTGAATTTGCACTGCAAAAGTCAAAAAAAAAAAATACTACTTCTTCCTCAAAAACTTCTTTTTTACAGACTTAAAAACTTCTAAAGACGAGGGAAAAAATATTGATCCATTAAAATATCCCAATATCTTCATATGCCGATATATTGCCATTTAAAAACACCATATCAATCTCTTTTACTAATGAAATCTTGCTATATGTCATCGTTATGCTACGAAATCCCCCGTAAATTCACCAAATGTTGCCATATTTTTATATGTTGATATATTGACGCGGTATCAATCTATTTTACTAACAAAATCTCACAAGAATTTGCAAAATATCACGAGAGTTTGTAACAGAACGATGAAATTTCATGAGATTTTGAAAGTAAAATAGATCGATACCGCGTTTTTAAAAATCTATTTGATATCAGCATATGAAAATATATTTGAGTATATTATTTTTCAAAGTGTCAGAAATGGATAAAACTGCTATTTTCAATGACTACTTATTTTTGTCCAGCTTTAACATCGGTATCGATATCGGTTATCGGCTACATGAGTTTTAAAATATCGGCATATCGGATATCGGCCAAAATCCCAATATCGTGCATCCCTAATTTATATACATACACATGCATATATATATATATATATATATATATATATATATATATATATATATATATACACATGCATATATATATATAGTCTTTTTTTTTCTCTTCAAATCTTTTTATTGAAAAGTCAGAGGTAGAAACAATAGATCGTCTTCATGGTTACAAAAGACTTTCCGTTTTTCAAGATGGTGCAGGGACCTTCTAATAATATTTATTGTATATAATAGTGTTCTATCAAACTGGTCCTATAGTCGCTCTATTACAGATGGAGTAATGTAACTAAAGTAATCCCTCCCTGGGATTATTAAAGTATTCCTGATTCCTGGTTGATGGGACAGGTGTTGTGAATGAAACGGTGCCCAGCTTGAAAGAGCTCCTGTGTGTCTCTGAATGTGTGCATTGATGACTGAAAGACATCTTCTGCCTCCATTGATCTGTTTACTACAGTCTGTTGGATTCATGTTAATGTGGATTTAAAGATATTTCAACTAGTGGAAAAAACAGACATCCCAAGTTCCAAAAACTGAATTCCAGGAGATTATCATCTAATTATCTTATTTTAACAGTAAAATCTCATTTCTTTGGCAGATCATCTTATTTACCTGATCAAAGTGAGGGGAAATACACTTAATTAGGACATTTTTACTTATTTCTAGGTGGTTTTTGCAGTGTGGGCTATCTAAAGGAGCTCACTCCAGGAGCAGCCTCAGTCATTTACAGCTTTAGTGCGTTAATAATAATAATTGACCCAACAGTATTTGAATGACGGCCTCAAAAAAAACATCTGCTTTCCAAATAGGTGGAAGATTTTTATGGATTCATTCAAAAAAAAAAAAAAAAAAAAAAAAAAAAAAAAAAAAAAAAACGACTAAAAACAGTTTTAAAAATCCTTATTTCAATGTCATGAAAATGACATCAATGAGGAAAATGGCCAGAAGATGTCAGGAGTGAGACATTACCATACTTAAATTGACTGAAAATTTATTTTTTTACTGATTACCACTAAATTCATTAAATATCAGGCTCCTCTCCTGTGGAACCAACTACCAGTTTTAGTCCGTGAGGCAGACACCCTGTCTACTTTTAAGGCTAGGCTTAAAACTTTCCTTTTTGATAAAGCTTCTAGTTAGAGTGGCTCAGGTTATCCTGATCTATCTCTATAGTTCTGCTGCTATAGGCTTAGACTGCTGGAGGACATAGGGACCCCTTTTTCATCATTCTGCTTCATTCTATCTCTATTCTCCCACTCTGCAGAATCTGTTAGTTCAATCTCTAACGTTCTGCTCTCTCTGCTTTTTCTCATAGTAGCTTCATCTGGTCTGTTCCTGTTTGGCTGTGACTCCATCCTGGAGAGAAATATCAGCTGTGCTGCTGCCATCAACACCTTTGTTTCTAGATGTTGGAGCTTGGCCTGTTTTCCAGTGTAGTCCTGTTTCTCTGACTGTGACTAACTGGATGTGCTCTCTTCATCCTCTGACATGGGAGCTGGCTCGGAGCTCGTCTGCCTGGCTGTGTGTTTCCTGGACGGGGCCGCCTGTGGAGCTGGTTGACAGTTGCCTTTTGTATCTATGCTTCTTTTTCTATGTCTGCTTCTGTCTCCTTGAACCCCAGTGGGCCTCAGCAGATGGCCGCTCACACTGAGCCTGGTTCTGCTGGAGGTTTCTTCCTGTTCAAAGGGAGTTTTTCCTCTCCACTGTCGCTACAAGCATGCTTAGTGTGAGGGATTGCTGAAGAGTCAATGAGTCGATGCAATCAGCTGGTTTTCCTTAGATAGAAAACTTTGAATCAATCTGACTGGATGATCTGGTGAAATGGAAAGTGACCTGAGATGACATGATGTGAATTTGGCGCTATAGAAATAAACTGAATAGAATTAAATCACTGCGAACGTATTAGTTTTAGGTATAAATAATAATCCATTCCTGCTGACTGGACTTTTCCTTTAACAGACGCTTCTGTAAGGAGGTTGAACTTTTGGCTCCTGATGCACATTGAGAGGATTTTTCTGTAGTAAATTTAAGAGACAGTCAGCGAGATAAAAAAGGATTTTTAATAATCACAACTGGTAAAAGCCAGGACTGTCAGGAGCAGCACTGTAAGGCATTAGAGGCACAGTTCTATGTTAACTGGATCAGTACTGAGCTTAGAAATACATTCTGCTGTGAACACACCGTCCATCTGAGAGACTGATAGAGTCCAACAATCACACATATGAGTCATATTTGATCGTTCTTTAGGTGAAACAAAAGCCAGAGTTTGGAGCAAACAGGATGTGCTGTAGAGTCTTTGATGATGTCGGTGCGACGGATGAGGAAGAGCACGCCTGCCCTGAGCCGCCGTCCGCGGCCGTTCTGTCTCAGTGTCCCAGGGGGCGATCATCATACGTGCTGTACCGCTTCACGTGAATTCTCCGGACGCGCTCGCGCAGCTCGCCTCCTCCGGGGCCCTCCTCATCCTCGCTCAGAGAGCCGCAATTGTTGTAGCTTCGCCGCGTGGCCTCCAGCAGGGAGTTGTCCGGCAGCGGCATGGTCTCATAGAGCAACGAGTTGAGGGTCTCCTCATAGATGCGGGCTTCAGGGAACTCCACCTTCACACACAGTTTAAAAGGTTAAAAAAACGCCACATCACTTGCGACCCAAACACCAGATGGGGTCTGTCGCTCCTCATTCGGGCTTCAGCCGATGAAACATCCGGGTTCTGGCAGAATTCATCCACATCGACACAAAACACACTTAATACTCTTTAAAGAAAACAATCATCTTCCATATTCCCCCCGTTAGGAATATACACATCTATTCTGTCTGAAAATTAAAGTTTAAACCTGTTAATACCCCATTTTTTCTTTTAGATCTACACCAAATACCTTTGTTCTCTACTTTGTAAAGATGTTCAAACTTAGGCTACAAATTAACAATCAGATTAATGGATTATTGAAATCATCGTCAACTCATTTAGTAATCGATTAATTGTTAACTGGAGTATAAATCCACCGCCGTTTGAGGTTAATTGATTTTTTTATTTAGTATTGCAATATTTGCTGTTTCCTGTTTTGCTGCTGGGTTCTTGTTAAATTCTAATTCAGACACCAAAACACATCATGTGGCAGAAAAGCTTTGATCTGGTTAAAATAAAATGTTTTCAATTTGAAACCAAAAATTTGAATAATTATATCAGTGCAGTTTGATGCAGGGTAATTTGATTATATGGTGATTAGGGCTGCAACAACGAATCGATAAAAACCGACTTTTAAAAGCATTGGCAACTGATTTCATCATCGATTAGTTGTGTCGCGCGGTTAATGCATCATCCGCCGTCGTCGTCATCACTGCCACTTGATTGAAACGCGGGAAGCAAAAAATACGGCAGAGCGAGCCAGCGCCGCAGGTGCAGTAACGTCAACTGTTCTAATGACCGATACCGCAAACGCAAGCTGCGTCTCAATTCGCAGACAGCCTGCGCTTTGTAAAGCGAAAAAAGTCGTAACATGAAACTCTTGTCAAAACAAATGAACATGGCACGGAAGCACCACTGTTATGATGCAGCACCTGAAAAGGAAACACGATGGAGCCTTCGATGGCAGTGATGAGAGCTGATCAGCAGGATGAGCGGCCATGTTTGTTTGGTTTTAAAGTGGGGAAACGTAACGTTAGTTTCTCAGGTAGCTCATCTGATGCTTTCCTTACCGTGTTAGTAGGTTACAGACAGTGATAAGGTTGGCTACTTATTTTACTTTTAATTTCATTTGAATTAGCTTAAGCAGCGTTTATATTTTCTTTATAAATAAATTAACTTGCAAATTATGAGGGCAAGGCTTTTAAAGTTTAAATCTTCTGGCAAAGATAAAGTAAAGAAGATCCTGCAATTTATGGAAGTAAAGCAGAATAAAATCCAGCAAGATCAGTAATATGTCAATTAATTATCTGCCACATTCCCATGTAAATATCTGTCTTTGGAGGATGTGTTTTTTAGCACCCCTAGTTCTCTCATTTTTATTCCAAATACAATTTATAATTTGAATCACAGGGCTATTTTTATCTCTATGGTTCAGTATTTTCTCAAGCAGCAACTTTAACTGCTATACTTTCCTGTCTTAAAAGGCAGAACTCTTCTAGTCTAAAAAAACTCATTTGTTGAAATGGGGGGGCCTATTGTTTGAACCCTTAGGGGCTTTAAAAACAAAAAAGACAGACTTTTTTTGCGCTTTATGAAACAAAGTACCCTATATTTTGTGGATGTACAGCTACATTTCTCATGTAAGTTTGCGTAGTTTTAACACAAACATTTATTTTTCATATTGCACCAGTACAGTTAATGAGCAACCTGTACTTGTGTGCTTGTTTGTTCTGTCTAAAATGTTTATTTTGGAATAAAGAGGTTAATATAAAAAATATTTTTTGTCCGATTCATCGATTAATCGAAAAAATAATCGGCCGATTCATCGATTTGTAAAATAATCGTTAGTTTCAGCCCTAGTGATATATATATGGTGTGTGTCGCCATTATCGCCCAAATATATGATGTTAGGCTTTCTTCATTTGGCTACTTCCAAGATGAAAAAGTTTACCTTGGTCTGCTTCTTCTCGGTGGCGTAGACGATGGAGGTGCAGCAGACCTCGGCCAGCTTCCGGCCCTGGCCGTAGAAGGACCAGCAGCAGATCTCATCTCCGATCACGTCTTTGAAGAAGAGGACGCGGCTGTTGAAGCTGAGGGACAGCCTGTCAAACAGCTCGATGTTCTTCAACAGGTTGTCATCAGAGTTACTGAAACAAACCGGAAACCTGACTTTACTTCCTCAGCTACAGCTCCTTCAGATCACACACGACCGTATGAATGTTTGTGTGATGTGTTAAGGAAAGATGGCCGTTCTCACGTGGTGTAGGAGTATTTATTGTTGCTTCTGTTGTACAGCAGCTTCACAACAGGCTGATGAGGGAGGAAATGATTCATTATTGGTTCATTGAAGAGTTATTGGTTTTGTAAACTCAATCTTCTGCAAAACAACTGAGCAGGAAGTGGGAATGATGACTTTATTTGAGAGGAAAGAAGAATTTTAAACATAAGCCCATTTAAAGGAAAAGTCGCTCATATTCAGAACTCAAACGTCTGAAAGTTCCTTAAATCTGAAATGATTCCATCCTGTTCAATAAATGATCAGTGTTTTTAATTCAGAGTAATTTTCATGTGAATGTGCTTTACTGGAGGCATCCATGTTTGTCAAAGAACACTACTGCCACCTACTGGTTAGTGACATTGTCACGGTGCGGTATCGGCTGTTGATCAAGTCCCAGTGCTGTATCTGGTGTTTGTCACAACGCGCTATTATCCAAGTCATCTTGAAAACATTCTTCTTCCAAATGTTGGCTACATATTACGGGTTTTTTCTCTGGCCAGAAGTTCGATGGCAAATCCTCCCTCTTCAAGTTGGCGATCCAACGACCAACCCGTCCGTGGAGGATCAGGAATCAGAAAGGGGAAATAACTCTTTTTTCACTTTTACCCGATGTATTCCAGCATCCAGCTGCCATGCACGTGGGCATTGTCAGTTTCACTATAGCTCTGGTGAATTTCAATGGTGAAGTCCTCTGGAAATCTTCAATAATTGTTGTTGATTGCAGATGTGTCTAGTAGTTCCCATTGATTTAGCTTGGAAAGCGGGGAGAATGGCGCTAGGCTTACCGCACCGTGACGTCACTGCTGGAAGATGGCAGGAGGGAGGGGCTACTGTATTTGGGCAAAAATGGCCGCTCCCAGACTCAGTGATCGTGACGAAAATGATTGCTTTTATATTTCTACTGATTAACGATAAATTCATTAAATCACAGTGAACGTATTAGTTTTAGGTATAAATAATGATCCATTTGTTATTAATTGCTGAACAGACTTTTCCTTTAATTGACTGACTGAGGCTCTTTTTTAACCTTGGAGGACGACTGGATGAGCTGCTCCTCTTCTCTACAGGAAGTGATCACAGGTATCAGACACATCGGTTGCTCTTTGTTGTCCTGTGGAGGAGAAACGGACAGAGTTCCTGTTTTAGATCAGTGATCAGTCACAGCACAGCTACTAACTATAACCAGGTTATGACTAAACGGCTGCTAAACCGCCCAGGAAGTAACTGCTGGTAAAACTCACTCAGACTCACCTGAAGCCTAAACTTTGGATCCTATTTCTAAGCCTGCAACTAAAGGTTATTTTTCCGAGTCGATTCATCTGTCGATTATTTTTTTGATGAATAATCAGTTAGTCAAAGCTTCCTTTAAGCGGAGCTTACACTGTAAGGTTTTTTCAACCATTAACTGCAGCTACAGCTCAAATTGTACAATGAAAACGTAGAGTTTAAAAGTTTACAGCTCACGATGTTTGTTCTCACACTGTGCGACACAACGCTCTGATGCGATCTACCGGCTCACGCTGTGCGTCTAAAAAAAAAAAAAAGAATCGTACAGTGGACGCCCGCCATGGTTCGTTCTTTGTTTTTTTTTCGTTTCAAAACAAAAACGAAAAAACTAAACAAGCATGTGGTGTTTTGTTTTTCCGTTTTTAAAACGAAATTAGAAAAACGGCATTTGCAAAAATGAAAAAAAAAGGGTTCGTTCTGGGATTTTTTAACTGCAATGGTTAAACCAAAGACAAGCTTTTATTTTGTTGTTAATTTAAATGACCTTATGGCAGAACCGGAAATGAAGACCTGAACTCCCGACACATAACTTTTTTAGTTACCAGTAGGTGGCGGTAATATACGCCTTCCATTTCTTGCCAACCGCCATTACAATCCACAAGAAGAATAACTTTTTTAGTTAGCACCACCAAAATGGAAACGTTTGTGTTATTTAGAGGGAATCGGCGCATTTCATTGAGAGCTTATGATCGCACGTTCCAAATCGGCACCGACACATTGTTGTATCTTCGCAAGTTGTGCTCCATACAAAACCTCCTGACACTCATTAACGAATAATGTGGAGCTCCTTGGCGGTTCAAAGCATCACTGATTTCAGAGTGTTTTTCCTCTCTCAAAAAGTTCGATAATCAATGCAGAAAACTAGGGATGCACGATATAATCGGCCCCCTATCGGTATCGGCCTTAAAACTGAATATCGGACATCGGCCACCCCACCGATATTTAACCCGATATTTGATCAGCTTCTGAGTTTCTAAAGTCTAAAAAAAAAAATACTACTTCTTCTTCCTCAAAAACTTCTTTTTTACAGACTTAAAAACTTCTAAAGACGAGGGAAAAAATATTGATCCATTAAAATATCCCAATATCTTCATATGCTGATATATCGCCATTTAAAAACACCATATCAATCTCTTTTACTAATGAAATATTGCTATATGTCATCGTTATGCTACGAAATCCCCCGAAAATTCACCAAATGTTGCCATATTTTTATATGTTGATGTATTGACGCGGTATCGATCTATTTTACTAACAAAATCTCACAAGAATTTGCAAAATATCACGAGAGTTTGTAACAGAACGATGAAATTTCACGAGATTTAGAAACTAAAAGAGATCGATACCGCGTTTTTAAAAATCTATTTGATATCAGCATATGAAAATATATTTGAGTATATTATTTTTCAAAGTGTCAGAAATGGATAACAAAACTGCTATTTTCAATGACTACTTATTTTTGTCCAGCTTTAACATCGGTATCGATATCTGCTACATGAGTTTTAAAATATCGGCATATCGGATATCGGCCAAAATCCCAATATCCTGCATCCCTACAGAAAACGGTTCAAGTGCAGCCATTGCCGTTTGGTAAGAAATGGTTTGTTTTGATGCCGTCTTCATCCACTGTAAATAATTTTTCTTTAGCGCCTTACTTCATCAAACGCTGTTGATTTTCTATTAATTCGATTTATAATTTTTTCGATTTAGGTTTTAAAAATGCAAAAACAGAAAAACCACATGCTTGTTTTGTTTTTTCGTTTTTGTGTTGAAACGAAAAAACCAAAGAATGAACCATACAGGGATTCCGGCTTTAAGATTTTTTATGAAATCAAAGCAGGTGAAACTAAAATTGCTAGATAGAGCAGATTGACGGACAAAATTTCTTTTTTTTTCTTAAATGAAAAATGTTTATATATTTTTTACAATCTTGGTCTAATTTGTGCTCTAAGCGGGTTTCTCTGTCAGCTAAAGGCAGGTTTTATAATCTTTATACTCCAGTTAATGATTAATCTGTTACTAAATTAGTTGAAGATTATTTCAATAATCAATTAATCTGATTAATTATTTCAGCTCTACTTATTTTAAAGTTTATGCTTTGGGTCAGGCTGACTGATGATGTCTTCCACCTCCACTATATGGCGTAAATGTCACCATCCGTACCATCAGCTCATATATTCATCCAGGTTGCCATAAATAATGTCATTATGTTATTAAAGAACTTATTTCTATCCTTAAAAAACACTAAAAAATGCTACACAACATGTTTAAATACTTTTTATGAGCTTTGAGACAATTTTGCTGCTTTTTACATTTTCTCCTTTAAACAGCTTCTCTGACGTTATCATAGGACATCAGATTAGTCCGCCTAAACCTGATTAAACCATGTTTATCTGTGTTTTAGTTGTTTCTTTCTTTAGATTACGCAATATATACCATAATGTTAACAGGAGAGTAAAACATTGAACTCAAAAAAATAGATTTAAGTTTAAATCCAAAGCTGATAAAGTTAGCTCCTGGATGAAGCGTAGGATCCCATTTCTGGTGCAGATCGAGCACAGAGTGATAAAACAGGATTTAAAGGCATTTATTTTCTCAGCAAATACATTATTAACCTTTAACACATTATAGTTTAGCATCTGTGCTATTTTTAGGGAGGGAAAAATTGCTGCAATAAAATGTTTTAGACGAGAACGTAGAAAAAATCCTCACCTTTTACTTGTTTTTAAAGAGCTTTATTTAAGATGTTCTGTTGGAGTTTTATTTAGATCTAAGCGGATCTTTCTATAGGAGCTGAATATTCTTTATAAAATTGGCTGCCATATAACGTCAAATAACAAAATAAAGGCCACTGGAGCTAGAAAATAATCTAAAACAGGGAACGTTTTCCAGGCTAAGGACCCACAAACTGATGGCGAGATGGAGCAGCGACTAGGGTTGTAAATAATAATCGTTTTGTATCGATCCATCGATCCAACAGCCGACGATCCGATGCATCGATCCGTCCGCAAGAGAATCGATTCATGTTTTTTTTTCCTCTGGTCTATTTCTATCCATTTGCTCCTGGGCGTAATTCTCCCTCCCGTGCTGCGGTGGCGCTAAACCTATTCTGCCCTACTACTTCGCTTCCTGGTTATACTCTTACAGCAGTGTGTTGCAGTGAGCTTGACGCAGACATTTTTGATTTATGCTCAATATTGAAGCGTGGTCTGTGCTACACGCTGTGGGTCTAGATACGGCCGAGGCGGCGAGGAAGTGGGGGCGAGTTTAGTCCGACGACGGAGGGACATGAGGGCCAAAAAGAGCGGAGATCCAGGTGGAAAAAGGGTCCCAGCGTTCTCGCGCACCTCGCTCTTCTAGCGGGTCAAACTTCCCGAGTCGTTTTCCGCAATTTCGGTCATAAAAACAAAACAAGCCGGCCTCCTGTCTGCGGCGCTGTCTGCGGTCAGCTACAATCTGGGAGAGGAGCAGCGGAGCGTCTGTGGAGGGGGCGGGACGTCTGGAGCCGAGGTATTGCATTGCACTCATTGCACTGATTTAGTGCAGGATTTGTTGATGCAAAAAAGGAATTACAGGAATAGTTGGAGTCCAACTTTTCTACTCCTGTTATTTGCTGCTGTTTCTCAAATAAAATGCACAACGATACTACAGCTTTCATTGATTTATTTCAAATTTGAAACATTGTCTAGCCTGTAAGGAAAAAAAATAAATAAAAATGAACCAATTACTCACATCGAATCGTTGGGTCAGGAAATCGATACTGAATCGAATCGCCATGATGGATGTGATTTACACCCCTAGCGGGGACCCCCTGATTATATATATTGTATGAAATAGTGTTCTATCAAACTGGTCCTATAGTCACTCTATTACAGATGGAGTAATGTAACTAAAGTAATCCCTCCCTGGGATTATTAAAGTATTTCTGCTTCCTGGTTGATGGGACAGGTGTTGTGAATGAAACGGTGCCCAGCTTGAAAGAGCTCCTGTGTGTCGCTGAATGTGTGCATTGATGACTGAAAGACATCTTCTGCCTCCATTTATCTGTTTACTACAGTCTGTTGGATTCATGTTCATGTGGATTTAAAGACATTTAATTAGTAAATATATATATAAAAAAAAGCCAACCAAAACTTTCGTGACCCCATGCAGAACCTCCGTGGACCCCCTAGGGGTCACGGACCCCCTGTTAAAGACCACCAATCTAAAACAAATTAAAAAAAAATACTACATAGGTGTACGTGTTGCTAGGAAACCTTCCTGACTAGCTTCTGGCTGTAACTCGGGGCATAAGCCAGTGGCTAACCGGCTTCAGCTAACGGCGGCAGACTGGAGGAAGGGAGGCTGACCTGCAGGGTGGTCTGGCACAGCTCTACAAGGTCCTGGAGGAGGTAGAACTTTGCCTCAGCCAGAAGCTCCTGGACAGCCTGCCGTCCTTTGGGTAAGCTGACGGTTCCGTCACGCAGATAATTCAGGATACTGTTGAAGTGTTTCCCGCTGCGGTCGATCAGGATCCAGCCTGAACACAAACAGGGAAACGTATTCTAAGCTGGGGGGGGCGGACCGTAAATCCCGGCCTACTGGAAGCCCAACATGAAGAACAGGATCAGGCTTCAGTGGCTAACCTTCTTTATCAGTGAAGACTTCCTTCTTCCCGCTGAACATGGCCTTCAGCAGGGAGTTCTGCCGCGTCAGCACCTGCAGCGGAGTGAAGAACAGCATCCCTCCAACGTTGAGGCGGACATATTTGTTGGCTGGAGTCATGGCTTCCCGATGACCGCAGCTTTTGGTCTTGGGACAAACCACGAGGGGAAGAGAGGAGCAGGGGTCATCCTGGGTGTGGAGGTGTGGTGGGCAGGGGTCCCCGGACATGTCCCTTTGGAGGTAGATGACAACCCTGCAGACGGAGGTTCGGAGCTCCCCCGCCGTGATGACAGCTACTGACGAGGCAGCGCCACCTCTCACTGCTCCAGACCATTCCTGAGAAAACCCGAACAGAAACAGGAAAACCATGGAAAAGATTAAAGGTCATCGGGGAAACTATCCCAGCCTAATGATTAAAGGTTGTTAAAAGACCCGCCCTCTCCACTTAAAAAATAAATAAATGCGTGTGCGAGAGCGTGCACGAGGCCATTTCTCCTGGTGCACGGCCTGTATAAAATGTGCTGTTCTTATAGCTAATTGTGTCCACATACAGCGGGGACTATATAGTGAACTTTATAGTGAACTCAGTTAACTGACCGTTCAGACAGATGATCACTGCTTTTTGCTCCGTTGGTCACCTAACTCCTCCTCCACCGCGCGGTGCCTGCGCCATCTTTGTTATTAGTCGCCGCTGTCAGCGACAGCCTATGGCGACAGAAGGTTGCTGTGACAGTAAATCCCAGAATGCTTTGTGCTGAGAGCTCTCCCTGCAAAGCCTTCTGGGATATATCTGCCTCTTCTGAGGCCTTTCTTTTCCTTTTCTCTTCCGACCATCGGCCATTTTCAAAGATCGGCGGCGAGAAAGGTGAGCTTCAATGACTGTCTGAAACCGTAGCTCACCACAGATATACGCCTGAAAGAAAAAGATAGCTAACGGGACGAACTCGTAGGACGGCCTTACGGAATCATATCACCAGAATGATTGACAGTTAGGAGGACCACTGATTGAGATGATCCACCCAGAAATAAAAGATCCTCCTCTATGCCTTTAAATGCAGCTGAATGTGGGCACGCTGTGTGCGCCTGCAGCAGGCGGGGAGCATCTCCCGCCTAAAGGCCTGAACACACCGTCTGCGTCCAACGTTTAAATCACCGATAAAATTTTCTTCCCTGTCACTGACTGCATATAGAGAGGCTCCGACTAGACGGGCTGAGCAGATCTGTCTCTGTGCTGTTCACACATTAAAACTATTTCCCACATTTGACTGGAACAGATTATGATTATAAAAAAAAAAATAAAAATAAAATAATATAAAGCTAAGCTCTACTTAATGTGCAGCTTCTAGAACCAGAACAGATAGAGAATGTCTATCTATTAAAAAACCTAATTAGATCTATGTCTAAAGAAAAGAAAATGGCAGCAATAAACTCTGTGGGACGGTTTCCATGGTGACCGAGGCAGAGAGGTGATCCTCAGAGAGATCTGGGAAGTTTTTCTTTCTTTTTCCATAAAGAGGTGAGAGAGATACGCTGCGCTGACCTGCTCTGTCTGCTCCTCCTTATTCTGGTTTCTGTGAGGCTCAAAGAGGATCACTGCTTTATCCGTTTCTGTCCTCCTATCATGGGGAAAGTTTCTATTTTAATGTTTCATTCATTGTTTTTGCTCCAGTCTGTCCTGCTAACTATAACCGCGATGTGTGACTCCAAACTGACTCTTTCTCCGTGAGATTAACAGATTTTTTTTTGGGATTTCCCCCAAAGCGGATGTGTTTTACTTTGTAACTGCGTCTCTCTTCCTGTCAGACCCATGAAATTGCTGCTGAATTGCTGCGTAGTCCTGCTAAAATAGACCTGGGCTCTATCGGTCGGAGCTACGCTGCCCCCTGCAGGAAATCATCCCCATTGACTTTCAATGAGCACTAAACGCCGCGACCTCTGAGGGACGATTTTCTGTCGGATCGGATGCAAAATCGGATTTGGTGAGTTCTGGCCTTCAGATATTCTGTCACTTGCTGGTTAAAATTCTCAGTCATCCAGGTCATAGTCATTCCAAAAAAGTTTAAAGGTTAAAAAACAAACAACTGGACTTTGTTTTCCAAGTTAGAAGACGTTTCGCTTCCCATCCGAGTCCCCATTAATTTATTAAGGGGTGGAGCTGTTCTTTTGGTGAAATTTGCATGATTTCTAAGCCACAACATGTCTTTGTTGGGCTACTGTATGAAGCCTGGAACTCAACCCTAATCGGACATTTTGAACTGGAACAGCTTCCTGAGTGGGAAGCAAAAAAATCTTAAAACTTGGAAACAAAGTCCAGTGGATTGTTTAAACGTTTTGGATATTCTCTCACCGTTTCCCTCTGATGCCGATTAACCAAAAGAAAATAGGTAACAACTTCATCAGAGGGATTTTTTAAAGGTTGCATATAATTATTCTAAATTTGAAAATAAAAAATATTAACAATTAGGCCCTCAGAACATGCTGCAACCCAGGAGCAGGAAATGGCACATTAGATGAAGGCAGGAGCTTTAACAATCGGCTGACACAGACGCTGTGGATGGTGTTTTGTCAGATCAGCATACCCCGTCAGACCAGCATACCCCGTCATACCAGCATACCCCGTCAGACAGGCGTACCCCGTCAGACCAGCATACCCCGTAGTAAATAAGCATGTGCAAGACTTCAGATTTGTGTTCATTCCTTCAGTTTTGTATGAAAAATAGACCTTAAACTACCTCACCGGGCATGTATCCCTTTGGTCATGCACAAAAGAAAACTATTTATGGTAAGATCGCCAAAACCTTTCGAAAAACACCAAGAACACAGCAATTAAATTGTTTTTTCTTACATGACTAAAGGGATACACACCCGTTAAGGTAGTTTATTTTTTGTACAAAAGTGAATGGATAAACTGGTATTGATTATGGGTACGCTGGTCTGACTGGGTATGATCATCTGACAGAACAGCGGCTCATTTTCAAGCTAAGAGGTGGAAAAAATTAATGATGGAAGGGAAATGCTGTTTTTTTTTTCATTTAAGATCTTCATTCACAGGCTTTATGACACATGTGACTGTTACCAAAGGCTTATAATGTGAACTTTGCATAAAATGAAACCTTTTAGTGAACAGAGAGATACATTTCAACAGCTGGCAGTAGAAAATGATGAAACTGCAGTGAATTGATGTGGCTGCTGTTCTACTTCAGGACCTGATGACCTGGAGATGTAAACCAGGAGGTTGAATCTGTGTGAATTTAATCTACACAGCTCAGAACCTCTTCCACCTCTGAATGCCTAAAAATCATAAAAAACTAAATGAAGGTTAATTAGTGGCCTAGTTAAAACCCAGAGATGATCCGCTTGACAAAAAAGATCATTTCTTCCAATATGGCTGATTTTAAAAATGGCTGAAAAAAATAGAACATATAAGCCAATGTGTTCATAATAACTGCTTTCCATGTGGGGCCTTGATTGGCTCTTCTTCCAGAACATATAGGGCAATAATTAGCTGCAGGGGCAGATTTAGGAAATGTGGGGCCTAGGCAGAGACAGGCAGGGGGCCCTCTGAATGGAGAAGACAACACATCAAACAGCCCCATTCTCCAGATAGATAAATGTTAATAGAATAGACATCCATTCTCTGTTCTAGGTTGTGTCCCTCTCTTCTTGTCCCTTTTCTTCTTGTTTTCCTCTCTATGTTTTGTACTCAGCTGACTTTTCATGCTGTCTCTAAAGGAATGAAAGATTTTTTCAAGCACTAAGCTCACTTAGCTGATTGCTCCTTCCTGTGTTTCCAAAAAGGCCAAAGTAAATAACCCAGTCCTTCTTTTCACTGTAGACAAGCCATGATCTGCTTATCTGTTCTCCATTTTTCATTTGGATGAAATAATAGCTGCATGAATCATGACAGCAGACAAGATAGAGGAGAGCAGGAGGCGGGGTTACCAATCTACTCGCTCTGGAGAGCAGAGTTCGCTGCTTTTAGATGTTGTCTCCAAAGTCTCCAGTAGCAGAAAAAAAGTCTCTAGATTTGGCGCTAGGAGCTTTTTAGAAATCAAAGTGCTAGAGGGGTCTGAAAAGTGGCTAAATATAGCGACTAAAGCGCTAAGTTGGCTACACTGCTCTTTGCATGGTTTGTTTTCAAATGGTTTGCTGCTGTCTGTTTGGACCTTTCTGAACATGTGCAGCAAATGGACTGATCCAATATGGTGGACACTGAAGGGGGGGGCTGAGACACACTTAATATTATCAGCGTTCTGATGGCATTTTAGCCAAAGGATTTTTATCAAAAACATAATTAATGTTCACAAAGAAGGAATAGTAAACTCTGTTTACATGTATTAACCATACCTGTAAACAGCTGTTTAGATTATTCTTTTAAATCCCGATAAAAATGAGTTCTTAAGACATTTAAGTGAGACAGAAATCCAGAAAATACCAACCTTAAAGTAGACAAATGCATATTTAAGCTCAATGTTCTACATGGGTTTAACTTTAGGCCTGTTGCCTCCATTAAACTCATAAAAAAAGAGTCAGATTTTAAGGAGGAAACCATCGATGTTCTCAGTAACAGCTAGCATCACACCAACCCTCAACATTTAGCACAGAAAGTGCAACAGGTTTGCCTAAAATGTCCTGAAATCATCACTCAATGTGTCTGTTCCTCAGAGCTAAGCTAACTTAAGCATTAAAACAAACTTTCTTTAATATGATCAAATACCTGGAAGAGACTCGATCTAGAATCAACAGGAGATATTTTCAACAATTGCTCCTTTTTCTTTGCGAACCGAGTTCTTAATGATTTCCTTAAATGTGAAGCTGACTATTAATATGATCAACTAACGGCTTACCTGGAAACCATCGCCTCTTCTGTTAAAGTTCCTCCACAGCTGGATCCTGATATTTCTGCTTATTTTAAATATGTCGAAGTTCCGCAAAACTATTTCTGTGAAATTTGTTCGCCTCCTATTGTTGTTTCCAGAGGTTGTCACTAAGCAAGTTGGTTACTTTAGCGCCCCCGCAGGACTGGAGGTTGAACACTCATCAACACGTAAAGCTGTTCTTCTTCTGGAGTTCACCTTCCACAGAGACACACAGAACATGGAGGATTTTATTCAGTTGTGGGGTTTTAACTTTTGATGAAGGAGAACTCCATTTTAACAAGCTACTCATTTAATGGTTTTCAATTAAACTTGTTTTACGTCATTTTTTTTATTTGTTTAGTGTGAAAAGTGTTGTAAAAAGAAAAAAAAAACTTCTTCTTCTTTAGAAATGTTGCCGCTAGGCAAACAACAAATAGATGCATTTCAGATTTTTTTCATTATATTAGATTAATCAGGATTTGAATCTTATTTTGGTTTTGTTGATTTTGTTTTGTTCAGTATAAGTAAGAAGGAGAAGAAGAAGACAAAGACTAATCAACCCCAAACAGGAGGGAGGAGGTAAACATAAGGAAGAGACCCTGAGAAAAAAAAAAAAAAAAAGTTTACTTAGTTTTATATTTTATTTAATTATAATATGAGGGAAAAAAAATTCTGAATTCTGACAGCTAACAAACATGTTAGCATCAAGCCATAGTCATGTCTATGAGACTAGCTCTCTGGTTTTAATCATCTTCTGCTCTTCCATGAAATAGCATCAGCAGGGACGGAAAAAGTCGCTTAATTCCTTCATTTTCCACCAATATGTTCCTGTTCCTCCCAAACAACTTACATCTTTGTCAGTGAATCTGAGCGCTCGACATCTCTGCCTTCATGGTGCCCATCGACATTAAGAGTTTAAAGTCAGAATTCCGAGAAAACAGTTAGAATTATGAGATTAAAGTCAGAATTCTGACTTTTTTCTCGTATTATACTGAAATAAAATTTAAAAATCAATTAACTTTTTGTAATTTTTTCAGTGGCCCTCATCGTCTTCCATATAATCATAAATAAGAACCGGTCACCAGTTTAAATGGAACTCTTTAAGATGGGGAAACTTCTTACTGGTTTTTCTAGTTGCTGTGATAATGTAGAAACAATGGAACAGGTTTTATTAGTTGTAGAAAATATGCAAATCAAAAGAACATTATTGAAAACAGAATTACGTTTTAATGGGGAGTTGAAGTTTGAGAATGTGGTTGAAAAGCTAAAAGTTTTTAGGGAAAGAAGATTTTTCGTTTTAAAAACAATCCGGAGACATATTAGGATCCACTAGATGGCAGCAGTGTGACATTAATGGATGCAAGCTGCCGTAAAAAACCTAAAGAAGAAGAAGAACTGACCAACCCCAGCGTTTAGTTTCCTAGGCAACGCCAGGGGGAGGGGCCTATTTGCCAGGCGACTAACTCTGCCACATCACAACATCCAGAGATCGATCAGAGGCAGCTTCAAACAGGTACCGTTACGACCAGCAGGGACGGTTTTCTAGAAGGTTTTGTAGCTAAACCACCGAATGAAAGCGATTCCAATTTTACAAAGAAGAGCAGTTTGGGATTAAACTTAATCTAGCGTCCTGTTAGCTAGTGTACAGCTAGCTTAGTGAAGCTAACTAGCTGAGAAGTTTGAGCAAAGAGGAACAAAAACCTCTGAAAGGTTTGGCGAAAGCAGCGGTTTCTAAGTGCGGGTTGATTTCTGTGTCCTTGCAGGAAAAGGAACGTTTATTTTTATAAACCTGCGATCTGAATTAGGAGAATCTGAGGAGAAAGGCTGGATGTAAACAATGATAATGTAATTTCTTGATTATTCCCAGGATCATTAGCTACCTGCCACCTGATTAGCATTGCTAACAGACACTGAGTGTCTTCCTCTCATTAGCAGGATGTTTGTTCTGCAGACATGAAGCAGCTTTAGCAGCTTCACTGCCTCTGATCACAGCTGGGCAGAGTTTTCAACTGTTTTCAACATTTTTTTTTTATCTCCAGTTAAAGTAGAAAATACTCCAGAAATGACCAAAGCAAAAATAATAAAATAAGTCTATTTAAGGATTAAATAGTTGTTGGATGACAGCATCTGGTTCAGCTTTAGAGGTCCAGAAAGACTTTATCTGTAGGTTCTGGTATTTTAAATACATATAGAATAAAAATAAAAGACATAATTACAAATGAACAAATTCAGTCTGTGTCTTTTTCAAGATAAAACCTCTGAAGTTATTCCTTACATGGAGAATGATGTTAGGAGAAGGAGTGTATTTACTGTTTACTGCATATTCAGAGAGAAACCAGGAGTTTAACTCCAGGAGGAGAAGCTAAACTTCACCAGAATATTAAACAAACACAGAGGCCTTAAAAGTATTCATGTTTATTACTCCAGTATAAATCCTGCTGTTTGAAAACAATTTTATACACTGCAAAAAAGATCTAGAAATAGGTAAAACTGTTTTAAATTTAGTGTTTTTCCCCGTAATTTAAGGAGGTAAATAAGATGATTGACCAATGGAATTAATATATTTTACTGTTAAAATAAGATAATTCAATAATATGCATTTGAAATAAAACAATAAAAATGTTGTTTTTCTTCTTTTAAATGTAAATTGTCTTGTTTCATTGGCAAAGTGTCTCATTTACCTCCTCAATTCAAATGCCTGGAGATGACATGATGTGAGTTGTCGCTATAGATATAAAATGAATAGAATTGACCCACTGGTTAAACTGGTCAAACCGAGAGTAAACTATTAAACACAGTCTGTAATATCCATGCAGCCCAGGATAAAAAGCATCTGCATCTTTGTGTTTTCAGAGCCTTTGAGCTGGAGGTTGGTTTCTCTTCCTCCCTCCTGGTTCTGCTGGTGTTACCCGAACAGGCCGGCGGCCATGGCGAAGGACCCTCTGGCAGAGGCAGGCTTTTATTTTGATGAACTCAACAAGCTGCGGGTGCTTGAGCCTGACGTCAGCCAGAAGACTACGGAGCTGAAAGAAGAGTGCAAAGAGTTCGTGGACAGTAAGCTGCTCCTATCTGATTTATTTTCTCCCTTTTTTAACAGCAACCAAAGCTAACATGATGTTCAAACGTCTGTCTGCAGAAATCGGCCAGTTTCAAAAGATTGTCGACGGTCTGATAGAAATGGTTGATGAACTGGCAAAAGAAGCAGAAACTGAGAAAATGAAGGTGAGGTGAAATAGAAGAGTCGGGGTCATAATCTTTACCACATTTTGCAGGGATTTTTGAACAACGCAAAGCGGCGCATCAGTGTGGAGCGGGAGGATAGATGCTTACACAAATCAAGACCTTCAAAAGCGTTAGCATGTGCATTTATTTCCATCTCTGATCCCGCTAAATCCAAACCAACACGATCAGCTGTCACCAAACTCTGGGACAGAACAGCTAAGATCAAATGAAACCAAAGTAGGCGATTTGTTTCTAATCATCTCATTAAAGCCATTTGGTTTTAAAGGAAAAGTCCAGTCAGCCAGGAATAATCAATGGATCGTTATTTAGCCTATACCTAAAACTAATATGTTTGCTGTGATTTAATACATTTAGTGTTAATCAGTAAAAAAATTAAGATAGTAACTTTCGTCGTGATCACTGATTCTGGGAGCGGCCATTTTTGCCCAAATGTAGTAGCCCCTCCCTCCTGCCATCTCCCAGCAGTGACGTCACGGTGCGGTAAGCCTAGCGCCATTCTCCCCGCTTTCCAAGCTAAATCAATGGGAACAACTAGACACATCTGCAATCAACAACAATTATTGAAGATTTCCAGAGGACTTCACCATTGAAATTCACCAGAGCTATAGTGAAACTGACAATGCCCACGTGCATGGCAGCTGGATGCTGGAATACATCGGGTAAAAGTGGAAAAAAAGAGTTATTCCACCTTTCTGATTCCTGATCCTCCACGGACGGGTTGGTCGTTGGATCGCCAACTTGAAGAGGGAGGATTTGCCATCGAACTTCTGGCCAGAGAAAAAACCCGTAATATGTAGCCAACATTTGGAAGAAGAATGTTTTCAAGATGACTTGGATAATAGCGCGTTGTGACAAACACCAGATACAGCACTGGGACTTGATCAACAGCCGATACCGCACCGTGACGTCACTAACCAGTAGGTGGCAGTAGTGTTCTTTGACAAACATGGATGCCTCCAGTAAAGCACATTCACATGAAAATTACTCTGAATTAAAAACACTGATCATTTATTGAACAGGATGGAATCATTTCAGATTTAAAGAACTTTCAGAAGTTTGAATTCTGAATATGAGCGACTTTTCCTTTAATTAATTTTATGTCCGGGTATCACTATTCAGATGTCTGTGAAACATCCTAAAACACACAGTTGATTTTCCTGCCACTATAATAATTTTCTGCTCTGTGAAATACTGTTGGATGTTTCTGCGTGATAAAATGTGGAACAATTTTTCCCTGATGACATTTACGATTAAAGTGAAATAATTATTCCTTTCTAATCCACTTTCAGGCAATCGGAGCCAGAAATCTGCTGAAGTCGGTGGCAAAACAAAGAGAAGCTCAGCAGCAGCAGCTTCAGGCGCTAATAGCAGAAAAGAAAATGCAACTTGAGAGGTAAGAGAGCAACAGAAACTGTGATTAGTTCTGATGTGGCGCTAAAATGACGTCAGTTTTCCTTTGTTTTGTCCCACTTGAATGTTTCAGATTAAAAGGATTTGACTATAAGTCAAAGATAACCTGATCATAAAAAATATGGAGGCAATATTCTTCGATTGTTTATTTTTCAACGTTCGTTTTTTCCCCTTTTCTACAGATTATTTGTTATTTTATTTATTTCTCTTTTGAAATGGCGTTTTCCAGATCACATTCCCGTCACTTCCGGGGGGCGGGCCTTGAAGACGCACTTCTATTGGTCTGCTAAACGTAGTGACATTTCTGTTGGTGCAGAGCGAGGGTTTTTACTGGGCCTAAAGTAAAGAAAATGTGATCTGGAAAAGAGAAAAAGAAGTTTAAAAAAAATAAAATGAAAAATAAAAGTTACACCATTTCTTTGATTAATAAAAAAATATTTCTGGTTTACATTTCTTTAAAAAAAAATCCATTTCCAAAACATATTTCTGTAAAATAATGGAACAAAATTCCCTCCATATATAAAACACCCAAACATCTTCACACCTACACTGCAAAAACTATCTAGAAATAAGCAAACATTTCATAAATTAAATGTATCTACCCTTAATTCAGAATAGAATTCAACTTTATTGTCATTATACTGTCACAAGGTCAAAGCAGCAAAATGTAGTTTGCATCTATCCAGAAATGCTACAGGTGTGCTATAATTTAAGTAAATAGGATGATTTGCCAATGAAATTAGTATTTTTACTGTTAAAATAAGATGATTAGATAATATCCGCTCAAAATAAGACAATGCAAATGTTTTTTCTTTTTTCTTTTAAATGTAAATAGTCTTGTTCCATTAGAAAAGTGTCTCACATTCCTCCTCAATTTAAGAAAAATGACTTATTTACAATTGCAGTCTGTTATTTTAAAGTCGTAGGGAAATCATATTTAACCCTATAATGCCAAATGTATCGTATTTGATACATACGGTTTCTGAAATGTTTTGCGTCTGACTCCTTTTGCATAATTTAATGGTAAAAACTTTGCTCAAAATCCTATTGTACACAATCAGATATAGCTGATAACAGCCAGTAGAAGACTACATATCGCATAGTAATAAATTATTAATATCAAAATTCTATTTCTGTGTTTTCTTTTTACATATTTTGTTAAAAGGCCAAATAAGGACTTCAAACCAAAAAAAAGTAATTTTCTGTTTTGTTTCATTCTTGGATCGGGCTTTAAAGGGTTAAATTTAAAATCCTTCTGGCTTAAACATGCATATAATATGTACTTCTTATCAGACGATATTGTTCCAAAAGTTAGAAAATGTCTACTTAAAAAAAAATCCTGTCTTAAAATCAGTGTTTTTTTATCTTCTGCAGGCCAGTTAGTTCTACGTCAGACTGAACAGCTAAATTCAGCCTATCATATATCAACGGAAATAAAGAAAATAAAGGTTTGGTTTTAGGATAGATACTAACATCTTGAAGAATGTTGGATGAGCAGCTACATAAGAAGATTGATTAAAGGGTTTAAAAGTTGAAGTAATGTGAAATATGGACAGAAAATTAATACAGAAACAAGCGAAACTTGGTAGTGTTAGAAATGAGCAGAAAAAAAGCTTGATTGCCTTCCTGAAAATAGAGGAATCAGAGAGAAGCAAATAGCAGAAACAGGCTGATTATAAACGAGAAAAAAAACAAACTCTTAAGTTTAGAAATGCAACACGTTCCACATGCAACACTATATGAGCTAATATGCGTGTAGACTGAGAGGACAGGACAGAAAACCATATGAATAACACTATAATAGATACAACCCAGCTGCACTGTTAAATTCCTTCAATATGGCGCCAGAAGGACCTGAAGACGTTTCACACCAAGTTTCATTAAAAGGCTTGGGAGACGCATCCATTTTAAAACATGTTAAGCCACGGTCTCCCTTTTCAACCCTTGGTATATTCTTGCCTTATATGCAGGCGGGGGGAAGCATACCGTCACCGGGTCGGGTCGGTTTGGGTCGCCCCACGCCCCCCCACCCATCCTCCTTTTCTGAAAATGTAAAATTTGAAAAAAAACTTGTGTTAAACTCTGTGTAATATAATCAAAAACCATAATAGATACAGAAATAATGTTTAGACCTTGGAAATCAGCAGGCTTTCATTAACCCTATAATGCCAAATGTATCATATTTGATACATACGGTTTCTGAAATGTTTTGCGTCTGACACTTTTTGCATAATTTAGTGGTAAAAACTTTGCTCAAAATCCTATTGTACACAATCAGATATACCTGATAACAGAGGGCAGAAGACTACAGAAAAAAATAATCTTGACTCATCGCATAGTAATAAATTATTAATATCAAAAATGTATTTCTGTTTTTTCTTTTTACTTATTTTATTAGAAGGGCAAATAAGGACTTCAAACCAAAAAAAAAAGTAATTTTCTATTTTGTTCGGGCTTTAAAGGGTTAACAAATCTGCCAACTTTCATGTTTATGTTTCTTTCCATAACGTAACTATATAAACTTAACAGAACCTCAGTGGAACACGACTTTGTTTTATTCAACATTTTTTCCATAACACAGTGAGATCAATGCGCTGATACCATATTCAGTGTTCTTCCACATCGATCACAAAATAGTACCATTGAACGATGTATCGTTTTATCACATACATAAGACGACCAAAAACCCTGTTCCCATGGCGACGATGTAAAAATATGGAAAGTTTTGAAAGATTTCAGTCTGAGGCTTTTTATCAGAATCAATGTTTTTAATATCAAACAAGTCAGTTAAACAGCGTAACCATAAATGATATAAAAAGAAGTGCTTCACTGTGAGAGCTTGAAGGCTCTGAGGATGTTCTATACCAAGTTTCTTGTTTGTACATCAAACCGTTAAGAAATGGCGGCGATACGAAAATATGTGCCGGCTGTGATTTTTGGAAAATCTCCAATTGGATTTCTATTAAACATCCACCTCGTTTTGGGAAATTCTCACCTATTTTCTATGGTCAAATGGAAGCAAATAACTTAGGAAATTACATATGCAGTACATTATTTGAAAGCTAACAACCTTTAGTTTCTGAATATGTAAATTAAAATTGTGTGAGTGGAACACAGAGCAACCTGCATCAGTTCAAACATGACTCAAAGTTTTTTTTTATTCTTGGAAATGATAGGTCTTTTTTCAACAGCAGTAATAAAGACATGCTTGAGAAAAGGCAGCTCTTATTGTATTACATTTGTTCTACATCATGTCAGCCACAAATGCAGAAAATGTCGGACCTCTAGCTGCAACAGTTCCAGAGCTGATGGGTTTTGAACCTTTTGTGTCACCAGCGTCTCCAAATGTGCCAAATGCTTTTACTATCTGACCCATAGAATAACACTGAAGCATTTTAATGGCCACAAAACATTTATGAAGCAAGTGTTGTGATTTTATGTTCTTTTAAACTCCCAGCCAGCTGGGAGTTTATGTTTCTGATACTTTAAGATGTTTATTGTCCTCCCCAGTAGGGGTGGTAAAATATCTTATTTAATCAGATATTATTTTAGCTGTTATATATTGTTTATGACATACAGTCCTACTAACTGTGTGTTAGAAGAACAATAAATGAAAGAGTGATTCGAGCACTAATCACGGTCAAACAGTTATTTCTGCAGATACATGGAATAAATTCACCACAACTTCTGTTCAAAATATAATATCTTAACTTTCTCCTCCTGATTTTTGATCAGGACCTGTCATTTAAATCCCAGATCAAAGAGGTTTCTAGAATTTCCTTCTTTCATCTGAGGAATATTGCAGAAATGAGCAATCTCCTGTCCAGGGGTGATGCTGAGAAACTAGTCCATGCATTTGTTACTTCAAGGCTGGACTATTGTAATTCTTTACTATCAGGAAGTCCACAAACTGTAGTTAAAAGCCTTCAGCTGATCCAAAATGCTGCAGCCAGAGTTCTGATGAAAAATGAAAAAGAGAGATCATATCTCTCTGTTACCGTTAGTTAAAAAACTAAGAAAATGAAATCTAAGGACGTTATGATCCAGAATAGTAGAAAAAAAATTCCTTTAATAGAGTAGAGCAGTAAAGCTTCTGACTTTAATAGTTTTACTTTCATTACTTTTACTTTTATACTTTAAGTCATTTTAAATATGCTACTTTTGAGGGATTGCTGAAGAGTCAATGAGTCGATGCAATCAGCTGATTTTCCTTAGATAAAAAACTTTGAATCAATCTGACTGGATGATCTGGTGAACTGGAAAGTGACCTGAGATGACATGATGTGAACTGGAGCTATAGAAATAAACTGAATAGAACTCGACTACTTTTACACTTTAACTGGAGTAAAAAGCTGAAGTTGATCCTCTAACTTCTACAAACGTGTTTTTAAACAGCAGGATTTAAACATAAATACTTTGACTCCTCGTGTGGAGACTCGTCATGGTCATAGTCATTCCAAAAAAGTTCAAATCAATCCACTGGACTTTGTTTCCAAGATTGAAGACATTTCTCTTCCATCCAGGAAGCTTTTTAATTCAAAATGTCAGAAATAGCGTTTAGTTCCAGGTTTTATCCAGCAGCCCAACAAAGCCTGGTTTTAATTTAGAAAACATGCAGATAGAAACGGATGAACGGGTCCCCCCCTTTGGAATGGGGGTCGTTTGGCTTCTTTGTTAGCCTGCAATGCCCCATACCTGTCTATGTCTCTGAAAGGGGGGGTCGTTAGAGGGAATTGCTGGCCTGGCTGGCGTTATAAAAGCTGTTTTTGAAAGCTTAAAACGGTAGAAGTCTGTTTTTGACAGACCTAGATTCAGATCCGTTCCCTAAACTCTGTTTTAGCATCCAGACGTTCTGCTGTGCTAAACATCAAACCGTTTCACAGCAGCGTTCACTTTAAATGGTCGACATGTTGGATATCTGTGTTCATGCTGTCAGATCTATTGAAGAGATTTTATGATTCTACAAATTCAACAGTAATCAAGGAAAATTGGATTTATTTCTTTTTAGCTAATTTTGTGTTTAACTCAGAATTGAACCCGTGTGCTGATCTACAGACGTCTTTCTGGGTCTGCTTGTTTTTCTGACTCAGGTATCGAGTGGAGTACGAAGCCCTGTCCAAAGTGGAGTCTGAGCAGAACGAGTTCATCGACCAGTTCGTTCTGCAGAAATGACGCGGACCACCAAACGCCTCCAGAGTGCCTGAACAGAGCGACTTCCTGCTGCCGCTGTAGCGTCTTCTCCCTGGCATTCGCTAAGCTGCAGCCTGGACAGGAAACACCCCCCCCCCCCCCACCCGTTTACAGCGCCTGTCTCAGACACATCTGGGTGGGAAACAGGCAGCTGCAGCAACCAGGGAGAAACTCCAGGGCGAACCAAACAGCTCAGCATCCACCACAGGAGCTATTTATACAAAGAAAACCTATTTATAACAAGTATTATTTATACTGAAAGACTGCTGTTTATCTACTTTTATGAGCTTTTCTATCAGCTTAAATGTTTTCTGTATTTGCATGTATCTGCATATAGGTTTAAAACTAAACGTTTTCCTTCGATCGGCATAAAAACAGTCTTTGTCTCATCGCTGTTATTCTAATAATTCAGATCCAAACGGTTCTGCTTGCAAACGGTAGCAGAAATACAACTCAACCATTTTCCTCATTCATGTCATTTTCATCATGGTTGAAATAAAGATTTTTAAAACTTTCACCATGTAATGTTTTAAAGAATCCATAAAAATCTTCCACCTATTTGGAAAGCAGATGATTTTTTTTAGCCATTATTAACGCAGTAAAGCTGTAAATAACAGAGTGCGCTCCTTTAGATAGCCCACACTGCAGAACCACCTAGAAATAATAATAAGTATAAATGTCCTAAATTAAGTGGATTTCCCCTTAATTTAAGCAGGTAAATAAGATGATCTGCCAATGAAATTAGTATTTTTACTGTTAAATAAGATAATATGCACTTCAATCAAGACAATGCAATTGTATTTTTATTTTAAATGTTTTTATTTTATTTTAAAATGATCTTTTTCCATTGGCAAAGTGTTTTACCTCCTCAATAAATAAATAAATCACGTAATAAAAAAAAAAGACTTAATTAGATTTACATTTTTTACAGAGTATTAATAGCTACAGAATACTGCCACCTGCTGGACATTTAAAATCACTACAGACTGACTGATCTGATGACCAATGATACGATTTAATGATTTAATCCATTGTTTGCTATGATGGATTATTTCATATCTTTGTTTAAATTGAAAAAAATGTTTGATATTTTAGAAGCAATCCATAAAGTGGGAAGAAGTGAATAAGGATGTTTGTGGACTGGAATTTATTTATTTAAAATAATAACTAGAACAGCAAACAGTTTGAATTCAGATAATTTGACTGATAACTGAGAGGAGCAGGATGACATCACCAGAAAATTAAAATGCATATGAGATGGAAATGTTTCCATTCAGCTGAAACCTTCGGGCGGCTCCATATTACTGATTAAATTGATGAGAAAACACCAAATATCAGAGATAATCTTAGCAGATGTGGTTAGAAACCCCGTCCTGTGCGTCAGTCAGCTCCTGTTTCGGCCACCTGACTTTCTGGAAACGCTAAACGCACCGACGCCGGGTTTAGCTGTTAGAGCCGGACGCGTGCGGCGGCGCATCAGTGCTGCTGGACCCATCGCTGTGGTGGACTGAGCTGGGTCCTTAACCTGGACCAGTCCAAACACCACAGACGTCACAGAGCTGAAATAATTAACATCCAACTTCATGACTCACATGGTTTATTGGAAACAAAGCAGCAATATTTACACGCTGTCCTGCTGTGAGATGGAGCCTACTTCTTCTTGGTATACTGCAAATAAACAAATAGGACTTTAAAACAAAGAGGTTTAAAAAACAAACAAGACGACGGTTTTCTGTGAGTCTCTTACTTTGTCTAAAATCCACTCGGCATCTTTGACGGCCCTCTGGATCATCATCTGGATCCTCTCGGGGTCGTCTTCATCCGAGTGGCTGTTGTAACCCTGGAAGCAAACAGAGGAGACAGAATTATTCTGCTGATGACCACTGATCAGCTAGAAGCTTCTGGGCCAAAGAAATGTCAAACACTGAGAAGAAGAGAGTGAAAAATATTCAGAAAAGCTGGAAAAAAACACCCTGACCAACAGGCACCACCCACAGAGCTACGCAGGGCTTCCTTCTCCACATCTTCAGCCCTGATCCGTCTGCTGGGCCCCTTGGTCTCTGTGATGCTGATTGTTCTGCTTTAGATCAAGATGCAGAATAACTGCACTGCAAAAAAAACAGCTAAAAATAAGTCAACAATTCTTAAAGTTAGTGTATTTACCTTTAATTTGAGCAGGTAAATAAGATGATTTGCCAATGTGTCTCTGCTTCTGTCTCCTTGAACCCCAGTGGGCCTCAGCAGATGGCCGCTCACACTGAGCCTGGTTCTGCTGGAGGTTTCTTCCTGTTCAAAGGGAGTTTTTCCTCTCCACTGTCGCTACAAGCATGCTTAGTGTGAGAGATTGCTGAAGAGTCAATGAGTCGATGCAATCAGCTGGTTTTCCTTAGATAGAAAACTTTGAATCAATCTGACTGGATGATCTGGTGAACTGGAAAGTGACCTGAGATGACATGATGTGAATTGGAGCTATAGAAATAAACTGAATAGAATGGAATGAGTATATTTACTCTTAAAATAAGACATGCACTTGAAATAGGACAATGTATTTTCTTTTCTTATTTGAAATGTAAAGTTTCTAGTGGTCAGTGTGCTAGGTGGAAATGTTATTTAGGCACAGTGGTTCCAAAAGTGCCAAAATGCATTTTTTCCCTCATAAAAACGGAATCTGGTCAGATAAATATTAAATTCAAATATTATAAATTCACATCATGTCATGTTGTCCATTTCTATAAATAGATAAACATGAGCAGGGGGCAGTTGGGCTCTGTACCGGGCCCGGTACAGGGCCAATGGAACAAAATAATTTACATTTAAAATAGTAAAAACAATGGCATTGACTTATTTAAAATGCATATTATCTAATTATCTTATTTTAAGAGTAAAAATACTCATTTCATTGGCAGATCATCCTATTTACCTGCACAAATTAAGGCGAAATCCACTTAATTTAGGACATTTTTACTTATTTCTAGATGTTTTTTCCAGTGCAGATTAAAGTACAAACAGCTGGACTCTGTTTGCTTTTCAGACATCTGGATCTTATCAGCTTCTAAAACTCAGGATTCAGTTTTCTTTAAGGATAACAGAGTAAAGGGGCTCAAACCAGATAAAAAACAGGCTGTAAACACAATGAGCTACTTTAAGCTGCTCTGTCACATTACAACCCAATAAAATTCAGGAATCTGTCTGACAGAGTGAATCAAATGCTCGGCTGAGTCAGCCTGATCCACCTGGCCTGAAGCCGCACGGCGCTCACCTGTCGTATGGCGTGTCGATAGTGCTGCTGCATGGCGGTGGACGGGAGCTGCCTGCAGCATCTCAGCAGGTATCGATAGAGCTGCAGCGGCGTTTGGATCAGCTCCACTGAGCGCGGCGCCATTTCTGCTACCAGTAGAGGAGAGCGCTGCGGACATCATTAACGGGGAAACTGTCAGAGGAAAGAGTTTCTATGTTTTCTAGATTTTAGACTAAGCTGATCGGAAGAACCACCGGTTCTATCGGATGGAGCTCTTTAAGGTCTGCATTTTAAAAATTACTTAATTCAAATTGACATTTCTTCTAATCAGGCTGCAAGTTTGCTGATGAAATCTATATGTTTAGATGTTTTTTTCTTTTTTAAAGCAAACAAACCAACAGATTCATCAGATTTCTTTTTACTGAACTATCAGGAGCCTTAAATTAAAAATAGCACAAATTTCTACTCTATTAAAAACGTAAAGTAAAAATAAAGTAAAAGTAATAATAAATCATATAAAATAGATAAATTAACATACTGACCACTGGGTTAACATAATGTTAACTATTTAACAGTAGTTTGGTTTAACAGCTCATCCACATCCTGCCCATAATAGAACCAACATATCAACACCTCTTTATCATTTTATCTCCATGTTGTTTAGTTCAGGTGAAAATTTTAAAAAGCAATAAACTAATTTTCTGCAGAGTTCGAATTAAATAAACTGGAAGATGTGAAAATGAGAGATTCTAGATTTTAGAAACAGTCTGATTGCTGCAGTTTAAATGTTCTGATCAGGGTCAGTCAGTCAGTCAGTCAGTCAGTCATTATAGATGCAGGGTCAGTCAGTCAGTCAGTCAGTCAGTCAGTCATTATAGATGCAGGGTCAGTCAGTCAGTCAGTCATTATAGATGCAGGGTCAGTCAGTAAGTCAGTCAGTCATTATAGATGCAGGGTCAGTCAGTCAGTCAGTCAGTCATTATAGATGCAGGGTCAGTCAGTCATTATAGATGCAGGGTCAGTCAGTCAGTCAGTATAGATGCAGGGTCAGTCAGTCAGTCATTATAGATGCAGGGTCAGTCAGTCAGTCATTATAGATGCAGGGTCAGTCAGTCAGTCATTATAGATGCAGGGTCAGTCAGTCAGTCATTATAGATGCAGGGTCAGTCAGTCAGTCATTATAGATGCAGGGTCAGTCAGTCAGTCATTATAGATGCAGGGTCAGTCAGTCAGTCATTATAGATGCAGGGTCAGTCAGTCAGTCATTATAGATGCAGGGTCAGTCAGTCAGTCATTATAGATGCAGGGTCAGTCAGTCAGTCAGTATAGATGCAGGGTCAGTCAGTCAGTCATTATAGATGCAGGGTCAGTCAGTCAGTCATTATAGATGCAGGGTCAGTCAGTCAGTCATTATAGATGCAGGGTCAGTCAGTCAGTCATTATAGATGCAGGGTCAGTCAGTCAGTCATTATAGATGCAGGGTCAGTCAGTCAGTCAGTCAGTATAGATGCAGGGTCAGTCAGTCAGTCAGTATAGATGCAGGGTCAGTCAGTCAGTCAGTCAGTATAGATGCAGGGTCAGTCAGTCAGTCATTATAGATGCAGGGGCGTCAGTCCCGTCAGTCAGTCAGTCAGTCAGTATAGATGCAGGGTCAGTATCATCAGTCAAAATTTTAGATGCAGGGTCAGTCATCAGTCAGTCAGTCATTTAGATCAGGGGCAGTCAGTCTTATAATGCAGGTTTAGTCAGCATCATCTTATAGATGCAGGGGCAGTCATCATCGTCAATAGTTTCAGGGTCATCAGTCATCATTTTAGATGCAGGGTCATCAGTCCGTCCCCAGTATAGATGCGGGTCGTCATCAGTCAGTCAGTATAGATGCAGGGGCATCATCAGCTTTAAGATGCAGGCGCAGAATCTCAGTTTTAAGCCTCAGTCCCCAAGTCAATTTTGATGCAGGGTCTTTAGTCAGCGCCCCTCGTAATAATAGGGCAGTCCAGAGGGCATAGACGGGGGGCCCCATCCGTCATTAAGAGGGGCACGATATAGATCGGGGAGTCAAATCAGAGTCAGTCAGTCATTTTTGGGGGGGTATCCCCCAAGTAAATCTCATCCCCTCAGTATAGATCAGGTCAGCGCAGTCAATTAGTCACAATGATGGGGTTTAGTCGTCAGTATCTGGGGCTTCATTCAATAGAGCAGGGTCAGCATCAGTCAGTCAATATAGAGCAGGGGAGCATCCAGTCAGTAAGAAGGTCAGCGTCAGTCTTTAGGCAGGGGGATCAGTCATCGTCTCTTAGAGCAGGGTCAGTCCCAGTCCCTTTTAATGCAGGGTCAGGGAGCAGGTCGTCAGTAATAATCGGGTCTAAATCAGTCAGTCATATAGATGCGGTCAGTCAGTCAGTCAGTCATATAGATCAGGGTCGTCAGTCATATAGATGCAGGGTCTCGTCAGTCTCAGTCAGTCATTTAGATGCCCGGGGGCAGCAGTCGTCAGCATTAAAAGCAGGGTCAGTCACAGATTCGGGGGCAGCGTCATTTATAGTCATCAGCCCTTTTATTCAGGGCTCGTCATTAAAGCAGGGAGTCACAGGGCCCCAAGTGCAGGGGCATCGTCTCATTTTAGATGCAGGGTCAGTCAGTCACGGGTGAAGAGCAGGGGTCGTATCAGTCAAAAGTCAGGGTGTCATTTTTCCATATAGATGCAGGGTCAGTCAGCCGTCAGTCAAAACAGGTCGATCATCGACAATTGAGCGGGTTTATCAGTCAGTATAGATGCAGGGGCAGTCCCGTCAATATCGGGTCAGGTCGTCAGTCCCATAGCTAGCAGTCAGTCATCAGTCAGTATAATGAGGGGGAGTCGTCAGTCATCAGTATATAGAGCCGGGAGCCCTCAGTCAGTCCCTATAGATGCAGGTCAAGGGCAAAGTCAGGGGCAGTCAGTCAGGGAAAGAGCAGGGTCAGTCCCGAGTCAGTCATATAGAGACATCAGTCAGTCAGTCATATAAATGCAGGGGAGTCAGTCATAGTATAAATGCGGGGCAGTCAGTCAGTCAGTCAGTATAAAAAGCAGGGGCAGTCAGTCAGGGTCGATAAAAGCAGGGTCTGTCGTTCAGTCAGTAAGACACATCAGTCCCCCCGTCAGCATATCAAATCAGTCATTTTCAGATAACCTGTCAGTCAGCATTATAAAATTTTCAGATCAGTCAGTCACGTCAAAAGTACGATCTCCACAGTATAACAGAAGCGAGAGATTAAATGGGGACAGTCGTATAGTCAAGTCATCCTCTCAGTATAAATGCAGGGTCAGTTCAGTAAGTCACAGTAGCAGCATCGTTGATCACCCGTTCAGTAGACAGACTCAGTCACAGATTAAAAAAGGGGGTCTAGTTGAGCGGGGCATCCCCCAGTCAGTATAAATGCAGGGATCGTCAGTCATCAGTATAAAGCAGGGATAGTCAGTCGCAGTAAAAAAATGCAGGGGCAGTCACCGCAGTTAAAATGCGGGGGCAGTCAGTCAGTCCCTCATATAAATGCAGGGTCCCTCAGTTCCCTAAAGAGAGGGGAGTCAGTCTCAGTCATTTTTAAATTTTCAGTCATTTAACGCTAATAAAGAGGGGAATCCCTCATCATCATAAAATTCGTCTCAGTTTTCAGTAGGGCAGTTCAGGGTATAAACATGCAGTCAGTAAAACACATGACAGCTCATATAAAATTTGGGGATGCACGGATCAGGAGCGTCAGTCAGTTTTATAATGAACATCTTGATCGGGGTATTAGTCAGTTTTACATTTTTTCCCGGGTCCCAGCGTATAATAGGGGGCAGATAAATGTAGGGTACGCTCAGATAATGCGGCGTCTCAGTCAGTCATTTTTGTGACAGCCAGTACAGTCAGATCAGTCATTTTAATCGGGATGCAGTCAGTCATCAGTATAGATGCAGGGATCAGTCAGTCAGTCAAAACAGGGGGTATATATTCAGGGGCGTCAGTCAGTATTTTAAAGAGCAGGGTCAGTCAGTCATCAGTATAAAATGCAGGGTTATCCACAACACCGTAAGACAGGGGGAAGCAGTATAATGGTCAGGGTCACAGTCATCAGTCATCCAGTATAGAACAGGGGAGTCAGTCAGTTAAAAATCAGGGGCCTTATAAATGCCCGGGTTTTAGCATTTTAGTCACATTTTCAGTCAGTATTTTAGAGCGCAGCCGTACAGTATAACTCATCAGTGTCAGTCGTCAGAAGGCGGGGCATCAAGCAATAAGAGGGTTAGCTTAGTCAGTCATTAAGAGGGGACAGCGTCAGTCAGTATAATGCAAAAGCGGTCAGTCAGTTTAAAGCCTCGTCTCATCACAGTATAAATGCAGGGTCAGTCTACAAGGGTTTCAGGGGCAGTCAGTCAGCATCGAAATCAGGTCAGTCAGTCTTAGTGCAGGGCAGGTCACATTTAGTATAAAATGCCATGTCGAGCATTAGTCAGTCAGCTCAGTCATATAAATGAGGGTCCAGTCCAGGGGAGTAAAATGAGGGTGTCAGTCAGTCATCTTAAAACAGGGGGAAGGGGGCAGTCATATAACACGTAGAGCGCAGAGTAAAACACCATAGCAGTCAGCTTGATCAGTCACGTCTCAGTAAATTCCCGTCAGTATATCTTCAAAGTGCAACGTACGTCGAAAAAGCCATTCAGGGGCGCACAGTTTTAAAATGAGGGGGTGGAGTTGTGAGGGTCAGTCCCGTCAACCCGGTCAGAATAAATGCGGGGAAGGCATCAGTTAGATGCAGTCACTAGCAGTAAAGGTCAGTATCCCATTAATGAGACTGCAGGTTAAAGGGTGGAGTGTCGTTCACAATAAATGATCAGTCAGCATTGACTGTCTCGGTGGGGGATGTGCAAGGGGTCTGTCATTTTAAAAGCGGAAATAGGGCGTCATAAAAGCAGGGGATCTAGAGTGATGACTTTTGGTCGATAGTGTCTCATTTTTTTTATAAAAGAGGGGAGTATAGTTGATGAGGGTAGGATCCCTGTAGTTAGATGGGGTAGTAAATATGTATGAAGTAGTTAGTCAGTCATAAAAACAGCTCAGTCAGTCAGTATAAAATGCAGGGGGCAGAGTCAGTATAGTGCAGGGGTTTCAGTCATTCAGTATAGTGCAGGGCAGTCAGTCAGC